CAGGCTTTGAAGGAAGCCTTCATGAAGAGCCCATCCTGAAGCATCCTGACCCGCAACGGCCATTTGTCGTGGAGGCGGATGCGTCCGACATTGCCATTGGGGTGGTGTTACTCCAGGCGACGACGCCTGGCGGTGCCCTCTTCCCTTGCGCGTACTATTCACGGAAATTGAATCCGGCGGAGCGCAACTATACCATCTGGGAGAAGGAGCTATTGGCCATTAAAGTGGCATTCGAGGCCTGGAGGCATCATCTGGAAGGGGTGCGTCATCAAATCGAGGTCCGGACGGACCATAAGAATTTGGAGAGCCTGCAGACCGCTCGGAAATTGAACCAACGCCAGATCTGCTGGTCTCTCTTCTTTGCGAGGTTCAATTTCCAGGTGACGTACGTACCCAGCGGTCACAATCAAAGAGCGGATGCTCTGTCCAGGAAGCCCGAATATTCCCGAGCAGAAGACAAGCTTCTGCCCAGGACAGTGCTCCCTATCGAGTCTTTTGCTGCGGTACGAGAGCCGATAGATATACGGGCTCGGATTCGGGAGGCCCAGCAGCAGGATGGATGGGTGGCTCAGCGAAAGGAGGAGGTGGGGCCCAATTCTCCATGGACAGTCACGGATGGACTCCTCCACTATTGTGATCGGCTCTATGTTCCTGGGGACCCGCTCAGGGGACTCATCCTCAGCCAGTGTCACGACAATCCGGTGGCGGGGCATTTTGGCCTGTTCAAGACCCTGAACTTGGTCTCCCGGACCTTCTGGTGGCCCCGAATCCGACACGACGTTCAGACCTACGTCTCCTCTTGTATTTCGTGTAGGCAGGCCAAGTCAGCGACGGGCCCCGCCCGGCCTACTGCAGCCCTTGCCGACACCCAAACGACCCTGGGGGTCTGTGTCCATGGACTTTCTGACGGACTTACCCCCGTCTTCTGGATTCACAACGGTGTTTGTGGTGGTGGACATGCTGACCAAGATGGCGCATTTCATTCCATGTCGTGGCTTGCCGTCTGCCCGCACCACCGGTCGCATGTTCATCCAGCAGGTGTTCTGGCTACATGGTCTTCCTGATAGGGGGCCCCAGTTCACAGCCCGTTTCTGGCAGGGGTTGATGCAGGCATTAGACGTCAAGATCTGCCTCTCGTCCGCACATCATCCCTAAACTGACGAAGGGACCGAGAAGGTCATTGGAATCCTGGAACAATATCTGCGCTGCTATGTCAATCAGCAGCAGAACAATTGGGTGGACTATCTGGCGGTGGCTGAGTTTGCATTCAATAACTCCCAGCATACCTCCACGCAGATGACCCCATTCTTAGCCAATGTGGGCTATCACCCTCGGTTTTTCCCTCTTTCCCCATTAGACGCACCGGGACCACCAGCAAACGACTACATGGCAGAGTTACAGGCGATCCATCGATTGGTGCAGCGACAGTTGGAGAAGGCCAAGGCTGACTACAAAAGGTTTGCTGATCGGTCGAGGCGGGATACGCCTCTACTATGGGTGGGAGACTGGGTATGGCTGTCCACCAGGAACCTACCGTCAACCCGGCCAGTCAAGAAATTAGACCACCGATATGTAGGACCGTTCCCCATCGAGGCTGTCATCAATCCGGTCGCCTATCGCTTAACTCTGCCACGTTCCATGCGGGTACATCCATTCTTTCACTGCTCTCTGTTGGTCCCTGAGCAACCGGCGTGTCCACTCCGCCGAGCCGAACCTCCCCCACCAGAACAACGTGATGGAGACAGTGCTCCCGAGTACGAGGTTGCCAGCATTCGGGACTCCCGTTGGGTAAAAGGTCGCTTCCAGTATCTGATTGAATGGAAAGGTTACAGACCGGAGGAGTTCACCTGGGAGGATGCGACCACCGTTCATGCTCCTGCTTTGGTGACCGCCTTTCATGACCGCTTCCCATCCCGACCGCATCCGGATCGGCAGACCCGGGGGCAGGGCCCTGCGGTGCGGGATAGTGTTGTGATTCCGTGCCAGCCTGTGTTCCCAACAGCTGAGTCTGGGGAATCTGAGGAGGAGGTGGAGGAGGCCGTTGAGGGGCCATCAGGGTCAGAGGGAGGCTCTGATGAATTACAGGACTCACGGCTTGATGAAGAGCCTGGCCCCTCCAGCCGTGTTTCTGATGAAGCTCAGCTGTGTGAGGAGCATGAGTCAGATTCGGAAGGCTCACACCTGGATGTGCTAATTGATGCTCGCAGACGTCATCAAGTAGCGAGAGAAAAACAACAACAGTCTATGCGACTACTCCAAAGTAAAAGGAGAAGGCAATGAGAGGCAACGCCCTGGGACTGCTGTATAAAAAGGGGAGGTGTGGGCGTTGCTGGTTGCTGAAGGCAACCGTTTGCAAAGTGCTTCTTGGAATCCTGGTCTGTTCGTTTTGTTTGCAACGTGTTCCTGTGGACTATTTCCTTCCTTTGGACTTGAGTTTTGCTGTTTGTGTTTTGGACTTATTGACAGGTTTGTCACCCAAATAAAAGGGATTTTGTTTTGTTTTAAAGTCTCCAGCCTATTGTATCAGCAGGGGTTTGGTCCTTGTGCCTCTAACAAGGACGGCAATAGGCTGGGATAGAACAGGT